CCCTGACAAGCAAATATTATCCAAATATTATCCTAATTTTTATTCTGAGGCACCTTGAAGATTCTCAACAGGCACAAAGGACCAGAAACAAGATCCAAGAACAAGGACCTTCTTGACAACAGGCTATGACCTGGTANNGTGTGTGTGTGTGTGTTTGTTTTTGCTATAATCGTTTGCTTTGCTATGCCTGCCCGTGGTGATTATCTTTCGCTTCGAGGATAATCATGATTTGCACTTGCGGGTAATTTGCAACTCTGATTGTAATTCTGTTCCTCCACAAACGAATGCTGACCGAGCCAATGAGTGTAAACGGTACTTGCGATAGCATTCATCTGGATTACAAAAGCCGTTTGTAGGAGGACAGGTCTAAAGGAGAGGCCAAATCTTCCAGTGCCCCGCATAAGGAAGCGCCGCCAAACTGCGGGAGCAGTCTTGACATTACTTTGCATCCTGCGAGGTGCTTTTCGCGGAAGTCTTGGGCGCCCTGCGAGGGGACAGGGACGTCCAACATGTGTTTGAAAAATCGACGCATCTTGGCATTTATAGACGCTGCAGCAGGGGGCTGATTGGACAGTGCTGCCGCAATCCCCCTGGTCCAGTCAGTCGGCACAAGACAGATCGTGTCCTGACGAGTAGCTGTAAGGTATCCAACCCAAAAGCTGCGCAGTGGCAGCAGATGTTGATGTCTGACCCATGCCTGGTTTAGCATTACTCCTAGGTTGCCGACACACACTGTCTGCCTGATTTCATGAGGTGTTTAACACCACGCCTGTAAAGTTTAAGTTGCCTGCTCCTACCAAAGACACCTGACCGTCACCAGTCAGCCCCCACTCACACGACAGCCCTCAACTCCTGCCCTCCAGTCCCGAGAGTCACGTTGGAACCACTGGGGCAAGGTCTACTGACTGCCATCTGAGGTATGCGCCCTATTAAGCACATCGCGCGTAGGGGATACGAGAGCAACCCCTCACCACGCTCCTCACACAGCATTGTGGCATCATTTTGCAAGCAGGTATGAGCACATCAAAGCCACAGATGACCGCCGCCGGGCATCCATGTCCGAATCGAACCCTCCTGAAATCGACGAGACAAGGACTTGCTCTTGGTGTGACAGCACCATAATTGGATTGAATTTGCTTGGAAGATGTAGGAAGACTGACACAGCATCTTTGCAGTCGCCGTTGGGCATACTTAAGAAAGCTTGAAGTCCAAGATGTTGCGCGCAGATCAGACTAAGCAGCCGCCTTTGATCAGATTCTTGTCCTCTGTTAGCAAGCTTTCAGAGCCCTTCCCCCAGAATTTTGGCTAGACAGCTTGCCAGGATGCTCGAATCCGTAGCTACAACGCCCACAAGTCGTGCCAGCCATGTCCGTGAGGTGTGAGCGACGTGAGCCTCAGTGTCCGCAGTAGTTGATCTGCAAACTTTGTATTTTAATTCCACTTGGAAACGAGGATGGTGGCAAGAAGATCTCCTATTCTCAGGGCCGTGACCCTGTAAGAGAACGAGACATGATTTTGCTGGGTTCCACAGTCTTTATTGGCAGCTGTCTTTGGAGCACGTAAGCATTGATCTTTCAAGGGATGGCAAGGGCCTTCCGTGAATGCTGGTCTTGCTGGTCGCTGAAGGAGTCAGGGTGGAATTTTTGAGTTCCTTTCAAGTCCAAGCCCAGATCTTAACATGTTCGAGCACATCTCCAAGGCACAGTCGCTTGAAGTATAGCACGGGACCAATCAGGAAGGTAGCAAGTCAGGATCAAGAACAGAAGGCCCCTTCAGCAGGCCACTTCCCCTTGTGCTGCCCAGGGTCTTTCAGATGCGGACTGCTTTGCGGCTTTGCACTCTCGCCTCACAACTTCGGAACATGTCCATATATTCATCGGGGCACTTTCCCTGTCAATGGGGCTTGCGACGAAGATGCAGAAGTTGGTGCAGCTTGGAAGGCGCTCCGCAGTCTTGAAAGAATACCTCGGACACCACTCACTACGGAGAAAATTGACTCCCTCACGGTTTCACAAAACTCTTCCAGTCGAGTGCGTTTGCAGCACGGGACACTTCGTGTGCACAACGGGCCGGAAGCCAGCAGTCGGCTGCAGGCTAAGGCGATGTGCACGTGTCCCTTGCGAGACCTCTCGTCTGGGTATTTAGTGGAAACACTTTGTAAGCTCAGCTAGACTTGGAGCAAAAGCGTAAGCTGTGCATTCCTCGCATATGGGGTTTAAACGTGATGCAAACAAAGATACATTCCCAGCTCTGGCGTAGACATGCGATCTCTGCTCCGCGGAGCACTGTGGCAGATGTATGCAGACGGCATCTCTGCTTTTCATCAGCTTACTGGTTGTGAGTAGGGAATCGAGGAATGGATCCTTGCAGACAGTAGCCCCTAATACTCCCCCACAGTAGTTTTTGAATGGCTTCTGCCTGCGTTCATTAGTTCATTCATTCATTCATTCATTCATTCATTCATTCATTCCCTACTAACAGCCGGCAAGTCCGCCGGATTTGCGTTGTCTCTGGCAGTTTAGATGTCAGACTATCACCATGGCCTGCTGTGAAGTCCTTGAACCATCGCAGACGATTCGCAAAGCTTTTCAACAGGCGGGGGCAAAGTTTCTGGCACCTGCAACTTTAGAAGGAGGTTGCTTTCACATGCCTCGCGCCAGACATCCAAAGTTATTTTGAGGGCGATGTGCACGAAAGTTCTGAGTGCGAGGAATGTCCTCGGGTCAATAGGTCCCTCAAGAGGCATGGCTTCATCACAGCGGAATAGCGGCTTCAGCCCAGTTTTCCGTTTTGGCGACCTGCCACTCAGCCAGCGCCACGTTCAACACGTTGCGTCGTTTCTGGGGAGGCTGCATTCGTAGTCTCCTTGGGCAGAAAGCTGCTCGTGCTGGAATGCAACGAGGCAATGGCATGTTCAATCCTACTTTCAGAGTATGCCCTTTCCCGCATTGCTGCTTGCCATATTTCCCGATAGTTGCCTCGGACCCAGTCCAGCCTGTTTCCCTTCAACGCCGAAGACCCGGTCCGGGAATTGCGGGCCCAAGGTCGAAGAGACAGACTCGTCCAGGAAAACGTGCGTATCGTTGACCGGCTGAGACTGTAGAACCGTCAGCTTGTCACTCGTTTGAGAGGGAGGAAGGGAGGAGTAGACAACCAGATGCCTGGATTGACTTTGTACGGCTCACCACCATGGTGCTGGACATTGCTTGGACTGCGCCGCATGATATGCCAGCATCGACATATGCACAGGATTGTAAAACATGTGTGTCCAACGCGATGTTACCAATGTGTTGCAGCACTGACAGTAGACTTCTGCACCTACTGCAAGAAGCAAGTTGACCCCAGTGGCGCTGGAAAACTTATTTCTGAAAGTTTTTGCTAACCCCTTTCCCCAGCCCCATCCCCTAACAAAGCCAAACCTAGTCTGTGCGGAATCTGCCAAGCCCAATGTTTTTGCATTCTTAGTGCACATGCTCTAACCTCTTGTGAATTGCACGCTAGTGGATAGCATGATTAAACTTACGCACTTGCACTTTTCTTCTTACTGTTAGTGGCGCGACTTGGGGTGAGTACAGAAGTAGGAACTATAATGATTTGTACGCACCCTTTTCTGTTTCACGTGTCATCATAGAGAAAGTAGGGAGCGAGAGCAAGAGCAGCTCGTTGAATCAGTGAAGTTCATGCGTAGGTTCATATGTAGTCTCAGCCAGCGAGGGTCGCAAACCTTCAGGACAGGAGTTCAATTGGAAAGGCAGGGCCAGAAAGCGCACAATCTCTGAGCAGAGTGCCAGGGGGTGTAGCACCATTATCAATATTCAGGAGGCTCATGGGATGTCACAAGTCATGTGTCCCTTTGGAAGGTCACCAGGCCACGCACGCCCCTGGAAGGGTACTGAGCATCACTGGAGGCTGGCTGCAAATGCTCTGCAGACAGGGGGTCCTAGTTTTGATAAGGTTCTGCTGGCTTTCTTTTTGGGCTGAGGGGCAGCTTCTGTTGTAAGATAATTGTAAGAGCAAGGATTTGAATGAGCCACTGCCCTGGTAGTGTCAGTGTTCAGGAGTAAAGGCGTCATACTTCTTGCTGCGTGAATTGTGCACCCATGACTACATGCCCACGAGGTTGGAATACACGAGTCCAAAACATTGATGGATTATCGGGGAAACGCAAGACAAATCAGGACAACATTTCATGATGTGCATCCTGGTCCACAGGCTCTTGCCTTCGCAGCTCCGCTACCCCACGGCGAGTTCAATAGCTTGAGCCGCCGCTATTCTTACTTGCTCCCTGGGAAGCTCTTTGGTGACCGTGTATAGGGCTTATTCGAGCTTGACATCCTTCATATCCGTTTTGGCAAGTTGCAAGATGAACTGTAGCCCCACTTTTTAAAGCACCGCAGAGCCTCCCGTCAGCGACTGGATTCTTAGAATTCTCCT